GGTGAGAGGTGAGAGAGTGGAGAGTGTAGAGAAATGGATTAGTTTACTTAGGGTGGATAGATTTAAGGTTGGGGGAAATTAATTTTTATAATAATATTATTAATATTAATTAAATATAAAAAAATTGTATCTATTATAAAATATTTGATTTTGGAAATATTAAACTTCCAATCTGATTTTGGAAGTTTAAAAACTTAAAGTACTATTTTAAGTAATTACCACTTAAATAAATATGTAAATTTTGCAGTCTTTAACAAGTTTAGGTAATTGGACAATGGACGAGCTCTGACTGTAGTTGGCTTGACTGGGCTGAATTTGCTTTTATTATAGTTGGGCCGAATTAGCTTTTATTGTTTACATTTCATTGCATATGGACTGGGGACATGCTGGGCTATAGCCCAGGCATGCCCTCCCCTACATTACATTCGCCTCTGCACATTGAATACTTGACATTTTAGCCATTTTAAAATTTAAAATTATGCATTTTAAAACAAAAATTAGAACACAAAACTTCATATTAAAGAAAAATTGTGATAGCTCTTGCACAAGAATTCATTTACCATTGACCAAAGTTAAAAGCTTCCATCAGTGCCGGAGTCAAATGTGTTGCCTCAAGCTGCATGATTAGCTCGACAATCTCCGCCCTATCTCAGGAATGGCGCTCAATCCTTTGTTTGTCCCACTAAAAGAGTCCACCAATTATTTCTTTAGCTGCTTAGTTTTCATCGGTTCCTTTGGTGGTGGCTCAGAAGCACCGCTATTACTGATCTTTTTTTCTCTTTTGCTAGACCCCACTTGCCTAGAATTCTTCTTATTTCATTCCTGATTTTTTTAAACTTTTATATTCATTATCTGGATTAATTATTTGGATGGTTACTAAAATTTGCTAAGTTTTACTACTTAATGATTAAACTTAAAAATATATTTCAACAGTTATTGAACTTCGTCAAGTTTTACTACTTCATAGTAATTGAACTTAAAAATTTATTACAATGGTTACTGAACTATGCACCGTATTACTCATTTATCACTCAAATGGAAAACTCGTTAGGTTTAACAAACGGCGTCTACTTGAGTGATAAATGTGTAACACGGTACATAATTCAATGACAATTGAAATACATTATTAAGTTCTGTTATTAAGTGGTAACAACTTTTTCCCC